CAGAAACAGGTTTGCTCTTGAACATCTTTTCAGTCAACTCCATGATGCTTCCAAATAGAAACTTGCCAATTTTCCTGCCCTTGAGATAACAGATCCAGTATTATAGAAGAATGTGGAATTTTTTAATCTGTCCAGCACTTCAACTAGGATTTGAGATAACAGATCCAGTATTGTGGAAGAATGTGAATTTTTTATCTGTCTAGTACTTCAAATAATATTCTTGTAAGAAGGAGAAAATGAGAGAGGGAGTAACAATGTTGGACAAGAAATGTACTCATTACCTTACTAACATAACTGTAACTCCTCTGTACATCACTCTTACAATAAAGTAAAATAAAAAAGGTTATAGGCTTAGAAAAGTGGAAAAGTGCTGTTCAGATGCTTTTCTTTAAAGAGAAATTAAACTCCAGTTTAGAAAATGAAATGGCTGTTTTTCTCCAAAGCAAGTGTTCTGTTTTTGTGTAAAGACTTTGGATTATTAACAACCTAGTGTTTTTGTTTTTGATAATACCTACTTTAAAAAATAGAGTATAGGTCTGGGAAGGTGGCTCTGTGGTAGAGCACTTGCCTTACATGCATGAGGCCCTGAGTTCAATTCCTCAGCACCACACAAGCAAAAAGAAAAAAGTCGGAAGTGGTGCTGTGCCTCAAGTGGTAGAGCGCTAGCCTTGAGCTGAAGAGCTGAGGGACAGCGCCCAAGCCCAGAGTTCAGACCCCACAACCAGACTCAAAAAAAAAAAAAAAATAGAGTATAAATGCTGTCCAATCCAATTTTTTTTTTAATTTTAAAGAGCTATCACTAAAAAAAAAAAAAAAAACAAGAAACAGAAATTTTTCCCGAAACAGAGTCTCATTATACAGCAACACAGGTTGCCCTTGAACTGGAGATCAATCAAGTTCCTGCTCAGCCTCACAAGTGCTGGAATTTCAGGTGTGCGCCATAGTGACCAGCTAAATATCAGCTAGACCTAGAATTTTTGATGTGACTCATTCTGGGGAGTGCCACTGTACGTGTACACAAACATGCACACAAACAGACATACCTCAAGGTAAGAAGTGAACTCCTATGAGTGAGAGTGTAGGACCCAGCACCTGGCAACCTAAGGCAACTCCCCATTCTTTTCCTCACAGAGCATTCTTAAAAAAGAAAAAAAAAATGTAAGCCAAAGATCAGGGTGTATTCCCAAATAAGGTATTTGATAAGCCTCAGCCTGAGCTGCTCCAGGCTGCCTAGCCAGGCAAAGAATCACAACTATCAGGAAGCTAATCTCAGGCCCTTAGTAAGTAGAAACTTTCATGGTAAATCAAAGCTAATTAAACAGAATGGATTCTATTGCTGTAGGCTGGCTTGATTGAAGGGAAAATGGAGACCAAAATTGCTACTCATGCCTTCAACAGAGACCTGTTGAGCCCTTTTTAATGTTTTCCAGTAGTTCACCACAGCCCTGTGGAATACAATATAGGTAGAAGGGACAAGGGACACAGACTATCTTCATACTTTCAACTATAAACAGAAAGATTATGGTGCTTTTCCACCAGGAGATTAGCTAAAAGCAAACAGCAGGTAATCAATAAAAAAAAAAAAAAGACTGGAATATTTGCTTATTTACCAAGCAGTGGGCCTCTAAGATTCTTACTTAGATCTTCCAAGGGAGAAAAATAATCTGAGCTATTTGTGCTGTACTTTGTACAGAGACCCTTAGCAGGTACCAAATATCATATTGGATGAATTAGACATTCATTATTATACTGCACTGTAACTATATTCCATAGCAGCAACAGAATCAACAAGGCATATGCAGAGGAAAGGAATGGATTCTGCCAGGGCACATGAGGGAGGTCTGCATTCACAGAAGCAATGAGGTCACAGTGGTCCCTTCCTGCCAGGCAGCTTTTCACCAGGCAGTGGCTGCAGGAGGCAATCGTGTGGTCAGGACTATGACCCAGTCCAGGTGGCAGCAGATGGCCTGAGCTACTTTCCAATTCAAAATGCTACAAAGGATCCATTCCCTGGGGTTTTACTATGTTTCACCATTTCCTTCAGACTTTCAACTGTACAAGTGGACATACAACAGGACTGTGGTGATTTTCTACCAGCAGATTAGCTAAAAGCAAACAGCAGGCAATAGATTGAAAACTGAAGACTATGGATTTGCTTATTTACCATGCAGTGAGCCTCTAAGATTCTTACTTAGACCTTCTAAGAGAGAAAAATAATCTGAGATCACGCCCCCAAAAATTTTTCACTGGGAACAAATTGGAATCCTTTATTGCTCTTCTCTCCTTGAAAAATTATTTGAATCAGTTCATACAAATAAATAAACTGGGAGGAAAACGTGTTCAACTCTGTTTTCATGCAAATAAATAAGATGAGAGGATTATGGTTCCAGGAAAGCCTGGGCAAAGTAAGTTTTCAAGACACCATTTCCCTCTGGAAGAAGCCAGGGAGTGGTGGTATGCACCTGTCATCCCAGCTAGTGGATCCAAATAGACCCTGTCACAACACTGCAAAAAAGGGGCTGGAGGCATGACTCAAGTGGTAGAGTGCAACATGAGGTCCTGGAGTTGAGACTGCAGTGTTAAAATAATAATAGTAAATACTTGATTGTCAACAGCAAAGAAAATCTAAACATTTTGAAGCCATTTTCTAACTTCAGGAGAAAACAAGACAGGAGATGAAGTTCTCTGAAAGAACAGAAACTAAGGAAAATTAAAGTGGTTTTTAAAAAGTGAGAACACCACCAGGCATCAGTGGCTCATGCCTGTAATTCTAGCTACTCAGGAAACTACGATCTCAGGATCCAGGTTCTTATCTCCAGTAAACTTCCAAAAGTCAGAAGTAGAAGTAAACCATCCAGTCCAGGTATAAGAGATTGTATAACACGATCAGTCTAGAAAAGCCTTTACCACCGTCTTTATTTCCCCACCCCCGAGAGCCCAATCTACCCACAAAACCATTTGACTTTTCCCTCAGAAGACTACATGCCAAATGCAGCATTTGATTGTGGTATTAAAATAGAGCCAGGTGTGCTGGGACAAACCAGTCATCCCAGCTATTCTGGAAACTGAGGCAGAAGGATTGCCAAATGCAAGAACAGCCTGGACAATGCCCTATCTCAGTTACTTCTGTACTCAGACTGGGGCTTGAGCATGGGCCACAGGTAGAGGGGAGGTAGTACACTGGAGATAAGAGTCTCAGGACCTTTCCTGCCTAGGTTGACTTTGAACTGTGATCCTCCAATCTCAGCCTCCTGAGTAGCTAGAATTACAAGAATGACTCACCAGCTCTTGGCTTAAAAATTAAAAAAAAAAAAAAAATTAAAAGAGTGAGATGTTTACCTCAGTACCCCCAAGTACCACCAAAGATTTTTTTGGGGGGGGGAGGGGTCCGGTCACGGGCCTGAACTCTGGGCCTAGGCGCTGTCCCTGAGCTCTTCAGCTCAAGGCTAGTGCTCTACCACTTGTGCCACAACTGGCTTTTTTTTTTTCTGCTTATGTGGTGCTGAGGAATTGAACCCAGGGCCTCAGGCATGCAAGGCAAGCGCTCTACCACTGAGCCACCTTCCCAGCCCCCAGCAGAGATTTTTTTTTTTTAAAACCATCTGAGCTAATGATACCATAGAACTGCATCCATCTGAGACATCGGGGTGAGAAGTATCCTTAAGAATCAAAATCAAGGGGTGCTTTGCAACCTGCTTAAGAGGGAATGAAGCTCAAGCCTTGAGTTGGAATACCAGAGGAGGTGGCGGAGGTATGATGAATAAAACTACCTCAATACATTTCTCAATTCCTGGCTGGCTTTTGCCTGCACTGTCCTCCACCCACCTTCTCATGCGAATAGCTGTTTCTAAAATGCAGATCTCCGGGTAATTAGTCCACCAGGAGCAACAACCACCCCGAAAACCAAGGAGAGCTGTACCGGTGAAGGACCCGGTAGGCAATAACAGGTTGTCCTAAAGGAAGTTGCTAATTACTAGTGTCAGCATCCGGGAAGGGTCACCGCCTCCCCACCCCTGCCTGCCCGCCCACCCACCGTATCCCAGCGGCTACCTCTCACAGGCTAACGCTACTCCCTTGGAACTGGTAGGAGACAAGGGAGGGGCAGGGAAGAACCGAACACTGTCAGACTAAGTGATGGAGGCGAGCTAGACACCAATCCCCAACTTCACCACGCCGCCCAGGGAGATATTACAACCAGAAGCCATTACCAAGAAGGCTGGCTTCAAATGTAATTTATCAGAACGACTTTCCAACAAGTCTCCGGGCGGCCAGGCCCTCAGTTTGGAGAGAAGGGGGCCTCGGTGGGGGCGGGGGGGGGGAGGAAGAGTTTACCTAAGAAGGCGGTGGCAGAACGGACAGGCGCCCAGGGAGCTGCCCCCCTCCCCCGGCCGAGGGGGTGGAGCGGCGCGCGCCGGCGAGCCCGGCGCAGCCACAGGTGCCCCCCGCGCGCACTGGAGGGACTCCCACAGGTGGGCGCCGCTGGGCCCTGGGAGAAGGGGGCGCGCGGCTCTCTAGGACCTGGGGGAAGAGGACGGAGGGGACCCACCCCACCCCACCCCACCCCAGGGCTGGGAGATGGTTTTTGCCTTTAGGAGACAGCGTTGCGAGCCAAGCTGGGAGTTTTCCACTGCCTGCCTCTCGCTCTCCCCGCCGGCTGGGCAAAGGCTTCTCCCACCTCCTACCCCCCCCCCCCCGACACATACACACCCCCAGCAGGAGGAATGGGGTGAAAAGAGGAGCCGCGGGCACCTCCCACTCTCCTCCCCACCAGCCGCAGCCTCCTCCGGGGCGCGGTTAAGCCGCGCAATCGCCGGCCGCCGGCTGCATGCGCTCCGGCACGTACGAGCCCGCACAGCCACAGGCTGGCGGGGGGAGGGCGCAGAGACCCAGCCCCGACCCCGGTCCGGACCGTTCCTCTCCCCCACACCCCACCACACACACACACACCTCTCAGCCGATCCCGCCGGGCTCACCCCTCCCGCGCCTCCTCAGCCCCTCACCCGTGTTGGCCTTGAGGTTCTCCCGTAAGAAGTGACCGCTGGACAGATGCTGGAGGCCAAAGTTCTGGGCGATCCTCTGGCACACCGTGCCTTTCCCCGAGCCGGGCGGCCCGAGGATGACCGCGCGCAGGAGTTTGGAAGCCATGGCTCCGGCGGCCCCACGGGCAGCCCCGACTGTAGCCCCGCAGACAGCCCGGGAACTTTGTTTCTCGGCCCCCGTCTCGGGCACCCTCTCTGTTCGCGCGGGGACGCGCCTGCCGCCCCTACGGTGGGGAGGAGAGACTTGAAGACAAACCCCTCCCCGCAGTCCCGCCCTCCGCCACCGCCCCGCCCGGGGCCGAGCCCCCGCCCCGCGCCGTCCGCCCACGCGGGGGAGGGGGTGTCAGAGGTCCCACCTCCATCCTTTCCTCTATCTCACTCCCCACGCCCTCTCAAAGATCGGGGCGGGGGGCCCTGCCGGCCGAGTGATCCCGAGCCAATCTCTGCCGAACGGAAGACATCGGGATCGGGCTAACTCCCAAGTGCGCCCCCGCAGCCCCACGCACACAATGGCCCGGGGCTCAGCCCACCCGTCCCCTCCCTCCCGCCGGGTCCTGCACGTGGGCCGCGGTGGAGTCCGCTCCTCGCCCCCCCACCCCGCCCCACCTTCCCCGGCGGCTGTCATCCCCGCCGCCCGCGCGCAAACGGACCGAGGGGTCCACCTCCGCCCTGAATTGCCCGTGCGCTCCCACGCGCGGTGCGCAAGCAGAGCCCGGCGCCCCTCGGTCAAAAGCCACAGTGCAATGAGCCCACACCTCGGCGCCCCACGGCTCAACCGGGCGCCCAGCTTCGCTTCCCCTTGGGCGGCGCCGCCTCCGCCCGCCTGGTCTCTCAGCCCCGCTGGCCAAGCAGGACTCGATCCTTACGTAAGCCCGAGACCAGCAGCGCCCGAGCCGCCGGCCCGCGCCCCCCCACCCCTCCCCAGCCCTCCCCGCACCCCACCCACCCCCGCCGGCCCCGCCCACGCGCTCCCCCACCCGCGCCGACCCGCGGGGACTGTGGGGGCGAAAGGAGGAAAAAAGATTTCTCTTTTTATTTAGTCGCCTAGGGACCGGGCCTATTGTGAAGAGAGAGGAAAAATACAACTTGAGTACCTGCTGTCCATCAAGTCCGAGGCGGTGGCATCTCATTATGCAACCTCTCGAGGCACAGATGTGGAAATGCAGTCGTTCATCTGCTCAGCAGCGTTGGATCCAGCAGCACCTGTTAATGGGACCGACTATTTCCAGAGCTCGGAATAGAAAATCACGAACAAAGGACCCAATCTGGTGCCAAGAGAAGTTACTTTCCAGATTGAGTCTCTCTGTGCCTCTGTCTCTCTGTCTCTGGGGGGAGGCAGTACTGGAGTTTGAACTAAGAGCCTCTCTCTTTGGGACACACACACACACACACACACACACACACACATGCATTCCTCTTTTTCTGTTATTTTTCAGATAGGATCTCACTTTTCTTACCTCGATGGGCCTGGACCACCATCCCGCTTTACTTCCTGCCCAGTTGAGACGTGGACCACATCATGCCCAGCTTTTCCACTGAGATAGAGTTTCCTTAACTTTTTAAATGAATTAATTTATTTTATTTATTTTGCCTGAGCTGGCCTCAAATCACTATCCTTCCAATCTCTGCCTTCCCAGTATCTGGAATTATAGACAATGAGTCTCCAAGCACTGTGCACTGCTTCTAGCCAGGGTTTTGACTCTTGCCTAATGGATTCCAAAGCCCATTTGCCTTGGGGAAAGAGAGGAGAGGTTGTAAATCACTTGTGGTCAAGACCAATGTAGTCAACTGATTCCAGGATTTTGGTGTGCAGGAGATTGGGCCTCCGACACACTCAATTCATCACTGTCTCTTTTTGACACACACCCACACACACCACATTTGCCAATCTTCTATGCACCTTTGTTTTTGAGACAGGGTCTCAAATACATAGACCAGACTGACCTCGAACTGATGGCAGTATCCTTCCTCCACTTTCCTAATGCTTGGATTATGGCATACACCACTAGGACAAATTCTGTTTTCTTCATCCTCCCTTTAATAGCACCGGAGATTGATCATAGGAGTCTGTACATGCTAGGAAAGTGCTCTACCATTTGAGCCACATCGCCAGTTGTATTTTCTTTTTTTGAGACAAGACTTTGCTAATTTTGCTTGGGCTGGTCTTGAACATTTGATCCTCCTGCCACAGCCTTCCAAGGATCTATGATTATTAGCATAATCCACTTAGGACTCAATATTCTGTTGACTTGTTTCCATTTTACACATAGTTCTCAATTTCCCACCCGATTAGTTCCTATAACTATCTATCTTCCACATCATTCTAGTTTTCATACAATTGCTGGACATTTTATTGCCAAAATAAAAATCAGTTCCTTTTATTTCCCCACTTCAGGATGATGGTGAAAAACTAGAAAGCCACATAATGAATTCTTACGGTTTTCCCTCCAAACATAATCATATAGTAATGCTTTTTCAGAGCTTTGCTTGGAATTGTACATCTAATAAGAGGATAAACAGGCCTCTGTCATTTATTTAATCTTGTCTCTTTGAGATAAGGTCCTGAAGTGTTGTACAGGCTAGCCTACAACCAGCTAGGAAGTCCACACCCACAACTGGTTGGTAATTCCATTCAGCATGTATTTATTTTTTATTTATTTATTTTTATTTTTAACTTCTTTTTTTATTTGAAAATACTGTACAGAGGGGTTACAATTGCATGGGCAAGATACTGAGTACATTTCTTTTTTTATTGTGAAAATACTGTACAGAGGAATACTGTACAGAGGGTTACAATTACATGGGCAAGATAATGAGTACATTTCTTATCAAGCATTGTAGCCTCCTCCTTTGTTTTCCCTTCCCATCCCTTCCCATCCTCCCCCTCCTCGCCCCCCCCCCCCCAGCATGTATTTAAAGTGAGATGTTTGAACCTTAGCACCCAGGTTTGGGTCTTACTGCCGGTTCCCAAAGATCTGACAGGCACTCTACCACACCAGCCCTCCACCTCCCACCCACCGCCAGCCTTGAGTTTGTTTATTGACTTAAGGACTGGAATCTCATCTTGCTAACTTTTTATCTGGATTAGCCACTAGCCCCAGTCATTCTGATCTCCACCTTCTGAGTGGCTGGGGTTACAGATGTGTACCACCCTGTCAGACTAATCCATTATTTATGTAGCTAGTTTGTTGGGTTAGGGGGTGGGGATGATGTTTTGGTTTTGAGATAGGGTCTTGCTATATAGCCTAGGCTTCTCTCTAACTCCCAATCTTCTTGCCTCAGCCTCCCAGGTGCTAGGGTTACAAAAGGGTTCCATTATGTTAACTCAGCTTTGTTCTTCATCCTATGACAAAAGGCAAGCCTATCAATCCAGAGACGTGAACCAGCTGGCCTGCTCACCACAGCCTACTGTACCACAGTGGCCTTTGCTTGGTTCCCAGAGTCACAGCCAATTCAGGTCCCTCACTTGCCTGAGAGATCTCCATGAATAAGTCCTTCCTGGAAAAACAGAAAAAGTAGAAAAGGAAGTGTAATTTCAAAGTGAGGGAGGGGGTGTTTCACAAGGGATCCAGAAGACAAATGTTAGAGGAGAAACCTTCAACAAGGTAGTTTAACTGGCTTTATTTTCCATTCTAGCATCTCCTAAGACCCCATTTCATCAAACACAGTATGTGTTTGATGAGCTAGGCAGAAGAGATTAGCTTCATACAAAAGAGGGTAAAGCAAACAACAGGTTAGGGAAAGAAAGAACGATCGAGGAGGTATTCTGCTTCAAATATAAAACATGCGTGTAAAATAATATGGTAAAAAAACTTTGTGCAATTAGCTTACACTAAAAATGACTGACAGGAAAATAAAACAAGCTCTGTTGGGGGGCAAGTATCAGCTAGAAAGGGAGGGTGAAGGAACAGAGTGAAGATGGGGTGAATAGGGTCAAAGTATTTATAGACATATATGAAAATAAAACCAAAACTATTAAATTGTCTTAAGAGGGGAAGGGAATAAGAGAAAGAGAGCAGGTAAGTTAGCTGGAGTAGATTGTATGCATGAATGGAACCTGTCAGAATGAAACCCCAGGGGACAGGTGGGAGAAGGGGAAGGAAGGTGAAAGGAAGAAAAGATGGAAAATATACACCAATTAAACAAGGGTTTCTAAACAAATTCTGATATTCTGGTTTCTTTTCAGATTGTATAAACCTTTTGTCTTTCACTCAATCAATTGTAAGAATAGAAAGTAGATATAATATGAAAATTAAAGAATGGGCTCTAGAGACAGATCAAGAGGTACACTCTCTGCTCTATTTAGAAGGTGTGCCTGTGATTGTAGCAATTCTTTAATCTGTGATTCATAGTTTCTACCTTAAAATCAGGCTAGTACAGTCCCTAGGTCACAGTATTATTGGGAGCTTAAATAAATTAATATGTGTAAAGGATTGGAATACTGCTTGGCACATGGTAAGCCAAGTAGTAAACAGTTATCGGTCCTTAAACCATCACAGAGCTCAAGGTGCTTTGTGGCTCTGAAAGAGCATGTTCTTTCTGTGTGTGTGTGTGTGTGTGTGTGTGTGTGTACTTTGGCAGGACTGAAGTTTGAACTCAAGACCTGTACACTTGTTAGGCAGTCACTCTACCACTTAGGTCACAACCTCAGCGATTTTTGCTACAGTTACTCTGTTTTGGTTCAAGACCAGGACTTGAACTCAGTACCTGACACTTTCACTCATTGGCTAGGGCTCTACCACCTGAGCCATTCCTCCGACCCTTGCTATAGTTATTTTTCAAATATATTTGCCTGTTGCCCCTGCCAGCTTGTACTGTGATTCTCCTATTTATGCTTTTCTTGTAGCTAGGATGACAGGCATGCTCTAAAGCCTGGGCCTATAACACATTCTTAGAAGAATTGTGGCATGTCAGACAAATGTATTCCACCACCAGTTTGTGTTGTCAGGGTGATTTTTCTTTTTCTTTTTTTTTTTTTGGTCCAGTCGTGGGCCTAAACTCTGGGCCTAGACGCTGTCCCTCAGCTCTTCAGCTCAAGGCTAGCGCTCCACCACTTGAGCCACAGCGCCACTTCCGGCTTTTTTCTTTTTGCTTATGTGGTACTGAGGAATCAAACCCAGGGCCTCAGGCATGCAAGGCAAGCGCTCCACCACTGAGCCACCTTCCCAGCCCCTCAGGGTGATTTTTCACATCAAGTCTTCATACATTTTAAATCAGCCATC